TTTAGCCTGGAAAAAATTTTTGTTATGTGCACAACATTATGATTTCTTGAGCTGCGTATTTTTTTAATATTCACCTCATTAGACGTCTCCTTCTCCTTCTCAATTTTGTTCCTTTGACCCAATTCTACACCCAACTTTCCAACCAACACCTCCTCAAAACATAAATGGTTACCATATTACTCTGATTTTTATTACCTCCATCCCCTCTTCTCTGATAGCGATTTCCTTTTTGAAATTCTTTGATGAAAAACCATTTTCTCCCGTCTTTCTTTTCTTCCTCTTCCATCTGCCTAAACCCCTTAGAGTCATCCTCCTCAAGGTTTTGCCTTGAACCTTGGAGATAGATGGGCAAAATTGGAAAGTTACACTTAACCCTGAACATGATAATGATACTACACTAGGTTTTGGATTGGGTTTCTTTTGATATACCAACCAGTGAGAACTTTTTAGGGGTCAAATACCTGGTGTTAGGGGGTTGACCTAAGTAGCACCGTAGATCGACGGACATAACAAGACCAAGCAAGCTTGGGCCACTTTGGCCCATTTTACTGATTTAATATAAGTGCTAGATATTTTCAGCACAATGAATGGATATTCTAAAAACTAAGAAAGCATTCTTGGAAAGACATTAAACACGATAACATTCTAGAGATAAATCCAGCTAAGTAAGGAAATAAGCGTGTGATTTAAATGATAAAAGTGTAAAATTGGAAACAACAATTAATAGGATAATTCTAGAAAGATATTAACCACATGTTTTAAACATGTGTAAAGAACAATTTAGACATTTTAGAATATGAGGGTAAAATAGGAAAAACATGAACTTAAGAAACTTCTGGAATGTGCACCCAAAAACTATAAATAGGAGTCTTGAATCCATCCTTGCCCATCACTTTGATATCAGTCCATCCTTTCTCTCTCATCCATATTAGCCTTTTCCATCATCCCATTCCAGCCATCCACCATTTCCTCCTTTTCTCTTTGGAATTCCAACACCAATAAACTACAATGGCTTGATCCCTCGTCAGAGGGTATTTCCCACTTGCTTATTTCCCATTTCTTCCCATTTTTGGTTTACTCAATTCCTCAAACCTTGGAGAATAGACCACTTTACATCCATGGCCTTACACCTGGGTATGTTGGAGTAGTTCAGAACATGGTTCAAAATTTTGATACATATTGTATCAGGAGCTTCCTGATACGCCTCTCCAAGGGGTGTTTTGGGGTCTAACCTGGTTCAGGGGGTAGATGGCCCTTAAACTGACCCCTCTAAACCAGGTTTAAAAAAAAACTAAAGGGGGGGAGGGGGTGAGACATGATACAGCCCAATACGCCCTAATTGATATTTTGAGCCTTGGTTTAGAATACTACTTGAGTGGGTGATTATTGTGAGGGGATCAGCCCCTTTGCAGAAGAAGAGAATATCAAGTTTAACACTTTCAACTGTTTTTGAAATCTCTTTGCAAAATGTATTTATATTTATAATATGCTATTTTAAGAAAATGAGTGGAGGGTGTGACATTGCATATAGTAGTCAGGGAAGAGGTCCTTCCTTGTAAGTAGTGTTTGATCATTTAAGGCTGAGAGGTTACAAGCAAAAAACCATTAAAGGGTTAAAACCTGGTGGGCTTTAAGGATAAACTCTTCGAGTTTATTCAAGCCCAATAAGGTTTGCAACAGTTATGTTATCGAACCATTTAAGAAATGGGCCTTAGCCCATTAGCTAGTTAGACTAGTCACATGACAAATGTTCATTGAGTCAAATACGGGCTTGGATTGGGGTATGGATCTCATAATATCTAATGTAATTAGAGGCCTAACCAAATTAGATTTGGATAGTCCTAATTACATTAGAGTTGCGATCTATATATAAGAGATAAGATGTAGAGATCGGCAACTACTAGTGCACCTCATTTTTGCACCTTTCTCTCTACTTTCTTGCTACCCAAAAACCCTAATTCGGTCTACCCTTAAAAAGCTTGCTTTCTCTTATTTTTCTGCTATGCTTTTCTTGCTAAAACATTAGAAAATAAAGTGGTTAATAGTTGCAATCATCCAAACAAGCTGAAAAGGGAAATCAGGTGAAATTAGTTGCAAGATCGGCCTCTTTGCATCAACTGCACCTTCTTCGGTTGGGTGGACGGTTTGAGCTTGAATTCTGGGCGTGAACCACTACTTTGGGAGATGCACTCTGTGGTCTCCGTATTAGGTGCACTTTTTTTTTTGGATCAATAACAGAAACTTTTATTAAGAATAAAAGAAAAGAGAAAGATACATCAGGAAAGGAGGGGTAAAATCTCTTAACCCACCCTAAAAGAAGAAATCAGATTACAAAATTGCCCAAAAAGGATTAGCTCTTCCCACGCCTTGTTTGGCCAAAGAGTCTGCCAAAGATTGTCACTCCTCTTAGTCCACTAAAACTGACTTTTCATGTTTTGAGTCAGTTGATTAATTTTCATTTTCTCATTTAAGAACTTTCAGACTGAAATCTTCCTTTTGCAGCCAACTAATAGCCAGCCTAGAGTCACCTTTCATTGACAGTTTTGCTGATATTCAGCTAATGGGCTCTTTTAGTCCATTCCAAAACTGCCAAAAAGTTTCAGCTCTCAGAGTATCTCCCCATCCAATAGGACCTGAATACATGGCAATAATTCGACCTTCCTCATCCCTAAACACTCCCACCTACACCTGAAGGGCCTTGATTTCCTTCGCTTCTTCCATCAAAGTTCAATTTAGTGAACCCTATAGTTGGAGGAGTCCAAACTGGAATATGGGAAGTATTCAAGGGAGCTGACCGGGCCACTTCTTTTCCAATTCTTAATGATATCTCCTGCTGAATAACCTTCAAAAAACTTCAGTCTTGACCCAATGAACCACCCTAATAGAAACTAATTCAATGATGGCTTCCTTATTTCTTTCTTTTTCATGGATTCCTCCCACACTGTCCAGCATACAGCTGCTCTGACACATCTCTACAATATTTTACCTCTCCTTTTTAACCCCCTCACTGAAGTAGAGTTAAACAAGCTCTGCACATTTGGAGGGGAGGACCACCTGCAACCAAAGAGAGAAAAACCAACACTAGATTTCCTCCGTATTAAGTACACTCATAATTTATTTTGAAATCAAATTCAATACTGATAAAAAAAAAATCAAATCTGGTTCAATCCAATTTTAGATCGTTTCTTGGTGAATTTAATTCTCCAAATCTAGGGAATCCGATTCTTGAGTTTTGGACTGGATAATTTTTGAAATTTGGCCAACAAACCCTAACTGGTTCGGCCTACATACCGATGTAACAGTGCATTCAACAATATCTTGGGGAATCTAGAGTAATCATGTACCACCAAGAAGAAATACTTATGATCCCTCATAGAAGGAACATGGTAAGGCCCTCGAACATCACCGTGTAAAATTTCAAAAAGGTGAAATGCTTTTTTTTATTACTAAAAGTAAAATTGGTCCTACAATCCTTTTCTAGTTTGTAACTCTCACAATACTAAGCAACTGAATTGACCAAAATAAAGTAGGAAACAAAACATGTAATGACCCAAACAATTATACCACAACATAATTTGATTCACTGACTGAGAAACATAAAGTATTGCCACTCCCATAACTTCTCTGACGACCCAATGCCGTATTTAGTAGGTACATTCGATTCGCCACATGGCTACTCCTATTCTTCTTCCTTATAAGTGCTAGTTCCTTAAATTTACCAGTAAATAACCAAGTTTAGTGGTTCCATCAATTGTCATCCTTGCTTCAGAAAGGTACATTGCTCACCTTGTGCCTTGGACCTCGGGTGTAAGATGCCCTTTGTGCTTTTATTGTGCCTTGCACTTTAAAAACACTGGACATATGTTGCAAATGTGCAATTCTAGTCGAACTTAGGATAGAAATTAAAGGGTGTGCCGCCAGGAGAAAAGAGACTACAGTGCTCACACAGGAGCTTCTAGATCAACCTCCAACTACTTCTGACCCATTAGATGATTAAAAACATCCCTTGGAAGTCCCAACCACCACTACAAAAGACCTCCGGTTGATCTCACCCTATGCGATCAAAATTTTTATAGTTCTTGACTTTGGGAAACAACTTCAGGAGCCTGGTTTGGGCAGCAGTTTCTCTGAATGAATCTACAAAAATCATCTAGAACTGGGTGATCAAATCAGCATTGACCAGGGAAGTCCCAACCACCACTACAAAAGTCCTCCAGTTGATCTCACCCTATGTGATCAAAATTTTTATAGTTCTTGACTTTGGGAAACAACTTCAGGAGCCTGGTTTGGGCAGCAGTTTCTCTGAATGAATCTACAAAAATCATCTAGAACTGGGTGATCAAATCAGCATTGACCAGTCCTTCAAATCTTCATGCAGTTTACTGGTTCTAAAATTGTATGATCTTCATCTGGGAACTTCTTGGTTGCTCTGATACCAACTTGGAATTAAAAGACATGAAATAATTCTTGCAAATTGAAAGAACAATAGAAAAGGAATGAAGAAGATGTAGAGAGAAAGGAGAAAGGGAACAAAAGGTTTGGAGAAAGCCAAAAGTTTTTGGGCAGCAGCCTTTTTTCTATTTGTATATGCTATTAGTTACTATATGATAAACACCCCTGGTTGGAAAACATAAAGAAGCATAAAAACAAATAGAAAACTGATATAATCAGTTAGAAAAATATAAAAGCAAAATAGCACCATATAATCTGGTGTTGATCTCAACAATTTCTTTGCTTTTATCTATTATATGTCTTGGCGTTTTGTCTCACTCCTGGATAAATTATCATTTAATCACAAGTTTGTATCCAGTATTTGTCGTTTTTCTTTTATTTTATTGGTAGTTCTATACTGTTGTTAACTTGCCCCATGAAGTTGCTAGTAGCAGTATACTTTCAATTTCACAATTATCTGCAACCAGCATACAAACTCTGAGGGTAGGTACAAAATTTCCTGGGTATGTTGATCAAGTTGGTAATCCCAAGCTTAATTTTGATGCCAGGAATTTTGCAAGACTTCTTGGCAGGAATGAAGTTATATGGAAGGCGAAAATGTTGATGGAGCAAAGCTTGTCTCATGGTGCACCAAACCCCAAATTGTTGAAAATGATAGAAATCTTGATTGATCATTTCAGTATGTAATGTCATCCTCATTATTAGATCTATTTTCTATCTATTGCAAATATTTTCTTTTGACTTGTATGGAAATTGTACCTGCTTTTCTTCCTTGACTTGTATGGAAACTCAAGAATATTCTCAGAAAGGGAAAGAGGCATTGAAAATGTAATAGAACTAATCCACTTAAGTGCAGCACAATGGCTAAAGTCCTCGGCTTTATTTACTGATTTTACTCTAGATGACTTGCTGAGAAAGTGGGAAGAGATTGCCAATTCTGCCCAGGTTAGAACTGGGCTAAGTCTCTCTTGGACCCCTCCACCCTACTGGATATATAAAGCTGAACATTGATGGCAGTAGTAGAGGGAACCCAAGGCAATTTGGTATTGGGGGAGTATTCAAGGATGGGAATGGGAATGTTTCAGCCATGTTTTCTGGCCCGATAGGTGTAAGTGATTCCCTCAGAGCTGAGATTCTTGCAGTATTGGAAGGAGTCCGAAGGGCAAAGGAATTGAATATAAGGAGGCTTGTGGTTGAAGGTGACTCGGAGGTGGTAGTAGGGTGGCTGAAAGAGGACAAGGCTGGGTTGTGGAACTACAGCAATGGAAAGAAAAATTTCAAGTGGCTGGCAAAAGAACGGAAGTAAAGTACAGTTGAGTGAAGAGATCTGCTAACTCTTTTGCTGATGGGTTAGCCAAGCAAGGGGTGGTTTGGGAATCTATGTTTTGGGCTCTTTTGTAATTCTGTTTTATTGCTTTTCTGGGGGTTCTTGCCCCTACCCAGGGAGTTAAGATAGTTTATCTCCTCCTCTTTGTAATTAATATTTTTATCATTTTAATGAAAGCTTCTGTTATTGATAAAAAAAGAAGATTAAATTTGAACCTCAACTGGTAAGTAAGAAGTTTTGGTAGTACATAAAAAATAGGCATATCCATTATTATGAACTATTTTAGAAGGAACTTTCAGTAGTACACTCAATTCAACAAAATCTTAACATAACTATATTAGGTTGGCTTCATAATTGCTATTTTATCACTTTCTAAAGAAGTATCTATTGTCCCCATTAATTTCTTCTTGGAAAATGTTTATAATGACCCAAAGACTCACCTTAATTGCTTGCTAAAGTTTGCATGACAACTTTCTGTAGAAAGTTACACCATGTAGCTAGTATAGTCTGAAGTGTTCTGCAGACTAAATTTTCTGTTGAACATCTACAGGTACAGCATTTTCTGATTATCCACTTTAGAAGTCATTTTCCCCTCATTTGTCTTGTATCAAATTGGCCAATATGAGTTAAGTTTAGTTTGGTTTGTCTGCATATTTATCTGTGGACATTCTCAAGGCTGTTTATGTATTAGGGCAGGAGGCTGAAACAAAAAGTGAACCCACTCCTTACTGATTCTACAGTTTTTTTTTTTTTTTTGGTATCATGAATTACATTATAGGAGGATCAAGGGATGGGAACAGAGAAAGGTGCACACCATGTCCACCAACCTTGGTACGGAGAGCCTATATCTATGTCTCTTTGGTCCTGCACATCTGTAGTTAGAGTGATGCCGCCGAGTGACTATCTCAGCTATTGGGTCATCAGCTACTGATTCTACAGTTTGAAAATATAACATTATAATCTTGATAGCAGTAGACATTTCCTGTTGCTTTCCTTTTTTGAAGGGACACCCAAGTAGAGGCATACTATTTGTTGATCATGGACATTTGAAGTTAGAGGCTTACACAGGTGCTGATTGGGTAGGGTGCCTAGATGACAGGAGATCTACATCAGGAGTTTGCACTCTTGTTGGAGGTAATCTAGTTTGATGGAAGAGTAAGAAACAATTAGTTGTAGCAAGGTCAAGTGCATAAGCTGAATACAAAGCCATGGCACATGGTGTTATAGAGCTCCTCTAGGTCCGATCTGTGTTTGGGGAGATTTGAGTAGAGGCCGAAGAACCCATGATGCTATACTATGACAATCAAACAGCAATTAACATTTCCCACAACACAGTTCAACATGATATGATGAAGCATATAGAAGTGGATACTTTATAAGGGAAAAGGTGACATCCGGAGAAGTGTGCTTACCATATGTTGCATTTGACTTGTAGCTTGCTAATGTTCTTACAAAAGGTGTTGCAAGAAACAAGCTGGAGTATGATCTACGCAAGTTGGGAATGTGTGACATTTAGTCCCAATTTGTGGGGGAGTGTTGAGTTTTGGGTTGATAACATTTGGTTTTATTTGCAAAGCATAGTTAGAGAGTTTTTGGGCCCAAGGCCCATTAGTTTATGTTTGAACTATGAGTGTTTACTTAGTTTTTACAAGTAGCCGACTTACTAAGGGCATACTTGTCTTTGTATTCAGTTTTTATGTATGAGTATATGAGCTAATGAAAGGGGCGGTTAGACTTAATTTTTGGCTTCTCCCCATTCTCTTCAACTTCTCTCCTCTTTCCTTTCTTTCTTTCTTTCTCTCTTTCATAGACATTATATCAAAGCAGAATTTTTGCACTTTTCTACTATCTGAATCTGTCCCTAGGAATGTGCCAGAAACTTTGTTTAGACCTGAATGGAATAATCCTATGAAAGAGGAAATGGAAGCCTTGATTAAGAACACATATGGGAGGCTGTGGACTTACCTAATGGGTGCTAGTTGGCTGTTGATAGGTATTTAGAGGCTGAGGACTCTATTGAGAGATATAAGGTGAGATTAGTAGCTAATGGATATACTCAAACTTATGGTATTGGCTACTTAGAGACCATTGCTTTTGTGGTTAAAATGAACTCAGCTTGAATTCTATTATCCCTTGCAGTTTTTTTCTTGGTCTATGTATTAATTGGATGCGGAGAATGCCTTTCTTAATGGGGATTAAAATGAGGTGTATATGGAGCTTCCCCTAGGCTTTTATGGTAGTGAAAAAGTAGGGAGAGTGTGCAGGCTCAAGAAGTCCTTGTATGGACTTAAGTAGTCTTCCAAAGCATGGTTTGGTAGATCCCATTGTGCCTTAGTCAAGGATGGGTTCTCATAGTCTTAGTCAGATGATATCCTCTTATTAGGAGGAATGGATCATTACTTACTATTCTTATTGTTTACGTGGATGACATTGTAGTGATTGGGAATGATGTGGTAGGGATTGAGTACATGAAACAATTCCTAAGGAGTTTGAAATTAAGGACCTAGTGGGTTGAGATACTTCCTGGGCATAGAGGTGGCTAGATCTAAGCTTGATATATTTATATGTTAGAGGAAGCACATTTTTGGCCTTCTAAAATAGATAGGACAATTAGGAGTCAAGCCTTGTGATACTATTGTTGATCCTTGTCATAGGTTATTTGCTATTGATGGACAACCTCTTGAGGACTAAGGGAGAGTTTAGTGTCTTGTTGGGAGATTATTATACTTATATCTAACATGGCTAGACATCTCTTATGCAGTGAATGCCATAAGTCAACATTTGCATTCACCTAGAAACATTGATGTAGTTACTGTTGAAAGATCCTTGCCTACCTAAAAGGTAATCCTTGGAGTGGTATACTTTTCTCTAACCATGGACATATGAAGATAGAAGGATATACCAATGCCAGTTGTGTTGGGTCTCTTGGTGATAGAATATCAACTTTTAGCTATTTTACTCTAGTTTAGCGGTGATCATGGGCTACGTTGGGTTGGAGTCAGGGTTAGCACATATAATAATCATTATATTGTTAGAGCTCAGGCCTGGGTCCAACTTGGCCTAGACCTTGGGCCTAAAATATAAGCCTAGGCCCGGGTTTGTATGAGCCTAAGCTAGTTTGGGTTGGACTTTGACTCAACCTAACATCTCTCACGTGGTTTAGGTTGTCAGTTAGTTTGTATCTGTTCCTTGTCAACCCCATCTGATTGCTATATGTTGGACTATCCGCTATGTTTTTGGATCTTTATCACAAGGACTATTCTTCTCTCCATCCTCTCCTATCCATTTGAGGGTCTATGCTGATGCTGATTGGGTAGGTTGTCTTGACACTCGTCACTCCACTATTAGGTGGTGTGCTTTCATGGGTGATTCTCTTATCTCATGGAAATGCAAGAAACAACAAATTGCTTCCAAGTACTCCATAGAAGTTGAATACAGGGCAATGTTGTCGGTGTGCAGTGAAATTGTTTAGCTTAAATCACTACTTAAAGATGTTGATCTTCCTATCTCTACACCTATCCCTCTACATGCAAACAACACTCGTTCTATAAAGATTACTTCTAACCCCGTCTTTAATGAAAGGACGAAGCACATTGAGGTGGATTGCCACTTTATTCAAGACTTGTTTCTTGGTGGCTCTATCTCTCTTCCTCATGTGGCCTCAAACATGCAGATTGCTGACATATTTACCAAGGCCATGATGAGATTTAGACATCTATTTCTTATGGGCAAACTGATGCTTGGGGCGAGTGTGAAGAATCCTGATGTTGTACCTTATTACTATAGCCCTTGTTGTAACACTATCTTGTTAATTCTATCTCTCTTATTTTCTATTCTTTTCCCCACAAGGGCCTTTTTGTAAATATACATATTTCAAATAAATATATTCTGACTCTCTAGGGTGGGGTCGATTGATTATGTTTTCACCCTAAACCTGTCGAGCTCTCTTCTGCAAACTGAATGTGTGAAATCTTGTTCACATTTGAACGAAATATTATGATTTTCAAACTTTTCAGTAGAAACTAGTACCTGATGGATATTTGCAGTTAGAAACTGACAGAACTCCCTTTATCAGTGACAATTATTGTGTACTGCAAGATTTTTGATGTTTGATGAGAATGTATTTCATCTGTTGCTTTTTTCCCTCAATAAATAAATGTTTCTAATATGTTCTTTATTTACTAAAAATGAATTCACTTGAAAAGTTTTCTTGTTATATAATTTACTCCTACTTATCATGTCTAACTTATTGCTTGCTTTTTTTTTTATGGTTTATATGTAATAAATGGAAACAGAATCTAATAGCCCAAAAAGCTCAAGAGTGATCATTTTCTCAAATTTCAGGGGAAGTGTCAGGTGAAGACACTTTCTATAAACTCAATTTGACATGCACCACTGATGTATTTTAGTTTTCTAAATGAAAGGAAATGCTAATTAGTTAATTATGAGACTTTCATAAATCCAGGGACATAATGGAATCTCTATCAAAGATCGGAGAGTCAGTTAAAGCTACTGAATTTATTGGCCAAAGTTCAGGTGTGCTGTTTATCCTTGCTTTTTTCTGTTTACTTTCTGGTTGACATTCTATTGGGAAAACTTGCCTTTTTCTGTATTTTTGTTATGCCTTTAATATTTTTTCTCATAATTATGTGCTGATGCTTAATATTTATTCTGTTATTTGAAGAATATGGGTTAAGGTAAAACTATTGTAGTTGGGATGAGACTTGGATGATGATGATGCGTTTAGGTGATACGATCAAAATGATAAGTACGTTAAATGGCTTAAATTGTCTTACTGGTCTCTAATCTTGGTTTTCAGCAAGCACTTGCCATTAGTTGGTTGGGCTTCTTGCTGACATTGTCTTCTAGAATATCTCTTTTGTATGGCAGGCTTTGGTCTTGGTAATTGACATGAGCTGGTTGAATCATCACCCTTCAAATTACCTAGAGTCCTGTCTAGTTGCCCAGCAACTCCACCCCCACCCTAAGAAGGTCCTCGTCCTCAAGCAAGTTGGGATACTTCTGATGAAGGAGCAGGTTTACTAGGAGGCATCCTCTAATGACAAGCCTGGCCACCCAACTAGAGACTCTTGTGTGATATGCTTGTTTGTCTTGACCCACTGGTAATCCACTATCCTTTGTGGTTGCAGATGCATCTCACCATCCTCAATAAACATACACAGCTCCTTACTTGAAGGAACAATAGGACCCAAATTTTTTTTTGTGGACACATAAAAAACAGGATGAAGCCTAGAGGAGGCAGGTAGGCCCAGGCACTATGCTACAATATGTCAATACCTACACGCTCAAGGATAGGAAAAGGGCCATAGTGGAGAGGCTAGAGCTTATGCCACTGTTGTTCGGCCATCAAATGCTTCTTGTACAGATGCAGTTTAAGGTACTCAAGAGTACCAACATTGTAGTCAATAGTCGATGGATGTGATCATAATAGGTTTCAGTCTGCTGCTGGGCCTTCAGAAGGTTTGCTTTCAGTGGCTTAAGGATATTGTCTCTGGTAGTCAAAGTGCCTCATCTACAATTGCAACAATTGAAGATGCCACTTCATTTGGGAGGATGGAAAGGGGGCTCTTGACTAGAGGGCCTTATATGGGGTCATCCTGGAGGAGGTGTGGAAGGAGCAGTTGCATTGTAATTTTGCCCAGGGTATCTGCTGAACCCAGTGTCGTGGATGATTCCCTCCATAGCAACACAAATAAGTCTCCAAACATCTATTTACCACCTTAGTTTGGCCATTGCATCGAGGGTGATAACTAGTAGATTAGTAAAGTTGAATCCCTTGTAACTCGTAGTACTTGTGCTAGAAATTGCTGAGGAAGGTAAGGTTTCTGTCGGAAATGGTGGCTTTAGGAGTGCCATGTGGTCTGGTAATCTCTGTAAAGAAAACCTCAGCCACTATTGTCATTGTGTATGGGTTACCATGAAGAAATGACCATAGTATGGTGGATTTCCCCTTGGATACAGGCAATCCAGTGATAGCCTGTGCTTCATATTTCTGTTGCTAATAGGTCTGGGATCTGAAGAGGTTGTAACAATCCCACCATAGCCTGTGCTTCATATTTCTGTTGTTGACTGGTCTGGCAACTTGCTACAAATTGCTTAATAGCACTCATACTCGTCCAGAAGAAATGGACAACAATGCAAGAATAGGTGGCAAAATTCTTAAATGGCTGCATTGAGGTAAGTCATGAAACAAATGGAGATTTCTGATATGGGCTGCTGTTGGTGAAAGCATCACTTTGCCTTTGTAAAAGAAGAATCGTGCCCCTAATAGAATATCCCGGTGTTGAAGATGGGTCTTGGGCCTATTTGGATTGATTTTGAGTAAGCTTGGGTCCAGCTGAGCTTGTTGCCTGAGAGTGTCAAATGGGGGGTAAATGGGCCAGGAGACCGAGAACTAGCCCAGTTCATTGACACGTGTGAGGGCATTTGCCACCCAGTTGGCTGAACCCAGCTTGTAGTTGTTAACATAGTCGTAGCCCATGATTTTGGAAGCCCATTTTTGTTGTTCCTTGGTGTGAATTTTCTGCTCCAGTAGAAATTTGAGGCCCTTGTTTTTTACCTGGATGATAAAATGACGACCTAAAAGCCCTCAACTTATGGATTGCTAATACCATAACCAGCATCTCTTTTTCATAAGTAAACCTAGATGAGTGTGGCCCAATAAGGCTTTACTAAAGTAGGCAATGGGTTCTTGCACTAGGACTGCTCCCAGCCTACTCCCAGAAACATCACTCTAGCATGAATGTTTTGTGAAGTCAGGAAGTCGTAATGTTTGTCAAAATATCCAATTTTACTGTTCAACCCGTCGCCCAACCTCCCCACCGATTACAGCCCTGGCTCGTGCCTTCTTGGTCACTGTTGCTGTTGTTGCTAGAAGCCCCTTTCTCCAACTGCACCATCACTGTGGCTAAGGATTCCTTGATCTCTTGCAGGTCATTGGTGACCTTGTGCAGATGAATCTCCATTCTTTGCACAAGATCATCATCCATTGATTCTGATTTGGTATTTGGCATCTTGATCTCAATTTCCAGTTATTGAGCTTTGTTAGGTTCTGTGCAACTCAGACACTATCTTCAAGGGTGGCATACCTCCTGAGAACAGAGAGTGAGTGTGAAAGAGAGAAGAGAGGAGGGACGACCAATTGGAGGAAACAACTTCATTTGATCTCTATTCTTCCTTATTTATAGCTTAAGCTTACATTGGTAATAGATTACAGTTAAAGAGTTCATACACTTGGATTAGTTAGTTGGGCTTCTTGCTGATGTGGCCTTCTAGAATATCTCTTTCGTAGGGCAGGCTTTGGTCGTGTTAACTGGCATGAGCTGGCTAGGTAATCACCCTTCAAACCACCTTGAATGTTGTTTGGTTGATTAACATATTGGATGTTATATGAGTTTAAAAAGCTACTCTGTGTTAAAATTGCTAAAGGTTAGAACCATACCAAGTTCACCTCTCCCAAGACCCCAAATAATTGGGACCAATGTAAATCAGTAAATCTACCTATTACTTAAGGAAATAATATTTGTATATGTTATTTTAGGCACATAATCTTTATTTTATTTGATTTTTTTTTTTGAAATCAATCATGATTGGAATGAGTCCTACTCTACTATACTTACAAAATGGGAGTGTCCTATTTGACCTTATTTGGAATCTTCATTGCTGAATCCTCACCATGCAAATTGATACCTATTTCAATCTGAAGTCACAACCAAACCAACATACTGAATGGTGCATAACAAATAAGTTTGCAAGTTGCTAGTTCTAGTACAATTTAGATAATTCTGGTCTAGCTTTGCTATTTGAATGTTGAAGGGGTTAAGGTTCATCAGCAGCTTCACAAATCATTCAATTAGTCTGGGTATTGCCTTCACCATATTATACTTGTAATCAAGGAGAGTATTAACCTCCAGTTGTGGGCTATCCAAAGAAGCTTATCTCTAACAGAGGCCCCATACGATCAATAAAAGTTATTCAAAAGTGGGTTTTATGGTCCAGCAATTATGTTTAAAAGTGCAAGGTCCTTCTAGCTGTCTGAAGTGCAAGGATCAAGGTGAGATGCATGCCTTTTTGAAACAAGGTGCAAATTTTTAAACAATCAAAATAAAAAAAAAACAGTAATATAAAAAATACACACCTGATTTTAAAAGAAATTAAATCTTTTAAAAAGCTTACTGGCTCAAATTAAAATAGATAAGCATAATATATACAACCATGTTGAATGTGAAAATGTAAAAGTAAAACCAAACATTTTAAATCTTTTAGCATAATGCCACTGCCTAGAATATGTTGACTTTGCTTGTTCCCAAATTTCATAAGCTGTATCAACCTACATGTAATTTCTTCCAACGGGTAGCAGCATAGACACCAAGAGTCATGACATAATCATGCTGTTTTCTTGATCCCAGTTGTCATGTTTAGCACTTCTAGGTTTTGGTTCCTTTACTTTACCATTGATGCACTCTATTTTTCCCCTAGTTGTAATATAGAGTTTGATGCCTTCGGACCATTCTAGATAGCTGAGTCCATCCAAGGGAAGAACAACCCTGGGAAAGGTCATATCTCGTCCCCCATTCAGTCCACTTCGACGATGTAATGCTAGAGGTGGCTGAATCTTCAGCAGACATAATGGGCAAATCAGACTAGAGGTGAAACCGGTAGAGTTTGATCTCAGTCATGGGCTGGAGGTTTCATATCTGATCCAAAATATTTATTCGGTAGCAGCACAGAGCGAGGTGTCTAACAGTGTTAGTAGGTGGAAGATTAAAGTGCTCGAAGATAGGGTGGAAATGAGCACCAGAAAGGTAGAGCTACCAACAACGATAGGAAACAGGAAGAATGATGAGAATGGATTTGAGAGTTTTAGAAATAACAGCCTGCTTGAATATTGAGGTAAGTTCGATTCCCCTCAGTGAATCAAAACCTCCAGAACAAGATAGCAGGACAAGGGAGGAGAAAGGAAATGGGGGAAAGAAAAGAGGGAGAAAGCTTCAAGACATGGAAGATAGCGGTGGGCAGCAGAGAAAAGTTTACATTAGAAAAAAGAGTGCTAGCTTTCAAGGGGATAAGAAGAATGGAAAGGGTTGGGGGAAAGAGAGTGAACTGGAAAGCTCAGGAGTGGATTTAAAAGAGGGGAGTGTGGTGGAGGTGGACACTGAGGAGGGGGAAGTTCCAAAGGAATGAAGTAGAGGGGAGAAGAGGGTGGATATTGAGAAGCTGGTGGATAGACAGGTGGAAGTGGGCAAGTCACTTGGCATGTTCTTTTTGGGAGGGGAGAGGGTGGTTAGAAAAGCAATAGAGCATTTTGTAAGAAGCAGAAGGAAAGAAAAGAATAAGAAAGAAAAAGCAATTGGGCAGGGAGGAGAGGAGTGGGAGGAAGGAGAAGAGAGAAAATAATGGGGTTGAAAAAAAGGGAAAGGGTTGATGGATGAAAGTTACAGGGGATAATAAGAGGGGAAGACAAAAATGAGGCTGATTTTCTTGTCTGTTGGGGGGTTTTCAAGATGGTAGAAGAACGGTTAGTTAGGAATCGAGGAATCTCTGAAGACAAGGATTGAATGTTGTCACAACTAGATCAGCAGTAGGCAAATCTTCTATACTTTGGGCCTTGATATTTCCTGAGGTATCTCATCTGCTGGGAAAAGTTCTAGGAGTTAGATTTTGGAGGTGGTGGGGTTACAAAGCCATGAGATGGAGATTTGGAATTGTATTTCTTTTTGTTCTATTTCCATTATCAGGTGTTGCCTCAACACCTATCATGGATGTACTATTTTTTTCATTAATCAACTTTCTTTTTACCTATCAAAGGAAAAAAAAAATCAGACTACACTGTCTTGCACTAAACCATGTAGTAAAATAGTAACCCTTACTCAAAACGTGCTACTTCTACTTCAGCCACACCACACCAGTCTAATTTTCAATGTTACTTCATAGAAAAGAACTATTACTACTTCCAAGCCAGAAACCACAAAGAACTCCTTAAAACATCACTTTAGACAATCCACAAGTGCACCACACAAGCCCAGAACCATAGTTGTCAAGGCGCCCTTGGAGGCTCGCCTTGCCCAATTGCCAAACAGTTCTGTATACTATGTTATAAAATACTTCTATGTTGTTAATGTTTTGAGATCATAATTATAAAATAGACATTATTGAACTAAAATATTCATTTTGTGTGTTTATATACTAATTCTTTGATAAATTTGTTTATATACTAATTTCTTTTTATTATTTTCTTATTTGTTAGGGTTTAATCAACACAAACATTGCTAATTGCTGTATTGAACTTAAAATTTTGTTATTTTTCCTATAACAAAAATAGGGATTCAACCCCTATATTTTTTGAATTATCTTTTCTTTCTTTTTTCTTCTCATAAATATGTTGATTTTCTAGACTTTAACATAAGTTTATACTTTCCTTACAATTATTAAGGAAATTTGTTTATGAAACCTAGGGAACTACCCTAGGATATATGGTTTACTTAAAAAAATCCACCGCCTAGGCGACTAGGTGACAAGGCACCCCTGTCGCTTAGCCTCACCTTGGCACCTTGAAAACTATGCACAGAACATCCACAACTATTTATGGAAGAGAGATAACAGAATTGAGGGGCTACCATACTGTTAGAGGATCATACGATGGGCTGAAACTCTTCAACCCACACTTTACAGCATTTAGCCACACCCAGCAAAGTTTCTCTTGGTACTGCGACCAAGGAGAAAAAATGGTGATTCAGACCAGCTGGTTGAAGTTTCATAATGTTTCAGTCCAGAGAAAAGAGTTTGATGAAAAGAGCCCATAATGGTGCTCTGATACCATGTAGTCTTAGTAGAAAAAGAAGAAAAATAGTAGAGAAGAGAGGGAGAAAAACGAAGAGAGTTTTGGAGTAAAAAAAACTTAGCCTGGTGGCTCTCATTAGATTGATATAAATAGGGTGACAATCAACTATTGATAAGTACAAGAATACCTTGGTTTATAGAGCATGTATTTAACATGTGACCTCACTTAAGTCAACATATGTTTTAGGTCAGAGTTTAAAATGCTCACATCAATACTGAATATTTAATATTTGGCTCTTAACTGATTGTATGATGCTCCACTAGAAGTCTTCTTTCCATTTTATGATGTTTCACTAGAAGTCTTATTTCCATTTTAAAGTTCTAGTTTATGTTAAAAGCAATAGAAGTTAATACCACTGAGAATTTCATTTCTTGAAAAATTTCTGAAAATTCTAATTTTAACAGGAAAAGCTTTAAAAGGACAGACTCAGAAAGTACAACAGGCTGTGTTACAGGTAGTGTTTTACTTCTGGTTACTATTGTCTACTCAATTCCCTACATTTGCTTAACTTTTTCATTTGCCTCTAGAAATTTCGGAATGGTGGATACAATGTCATTGTTGCAACATCAATTGGCGAGGAAGGTCTTGATATCATGGAAGTTGATCTTGTCATATGTTTTGATGCCAATATCTCACCCTTGAGAATGATACAGCGCATGGGAAGAACAGGAAGAAAGCATGATGGAAGAGTTGATATCCTTCTCTTTATAATGATAGCTTTTCTCTTTCTTCTTCCTGAAGTAGAATGCACATGAGTATATTGTCCCTTTTTTGTTTCTTTATTTTTCTCTTCCGCATTATTAAATGTTAATATTAAAATCTTATTTGGAGTTACCATTTTTTTTCCTAGTTTGAGTATCTTCCTTAAAAAACACTACTAGTTTTAGCTTGTGAAGGGTCAGAGTTGAAGGGATACCTACGAAAGCAAGCTAATAGCAAGGCTGTAAGAAAACACATGCGTAATGGGGGGATGCATAGTTTTGACTTTCATTCTAGTCCTAGGATGGTAAGAAAATTTGAATGAGGTCATCTTCTCGCTTCCTTTGTTAAACAATTATTTCCTTTGTAAACTCACATTTCTTTTTCCTAATTATAGATTCCACATATCTGCAAACCAGAAGTTCAGTTTGTTGAGTTGTCAATTGAACAATTTGTTCCTCGTGGAAGGAGAATGAAAGATGATGAACCTAGGCACCAACCCACATTCATGGACAAGTTGTCAGATGCAGAGACTGAATTAATTGCCAAATATTTTCATGCTTCTAGAGAAGATACATGGAAACCATCTCTTATTGCGTTTCCCAACTTCCAAGCATTTCCTTCCAGGGTGCATAACGTAATGCATTCATGCAGGACGGAAATGCTCATTGATACCATGCAGCGTCTGCAAGGACTATTATTTTCCAAAGATATGGTAACTTTTGTGGCTTAAATTAGTGATTGGTTTCTGTGGCCTTATCAAATTTTTTTTTTCCTGTTATACAAAGGATTTTGCATAAATACTAAGTAATAATGGAGCTTGCAATTTCCTTGTGTTCAGAGTGAGACCTCTTCAAGTAAGTGCTTGGAAGCTGAAACTGTTGGAGAAGATGATAGAAGTAAAAGTGGTACAACTACTCTTAACTTCTCATGTTTTTTTTTTTTTTTTTTTTTTTTTTTTTTTTTTACAAATGACAACTTTGAAGCTTTGTGCTGCCCATTTTGGGAAGGTCCTTTGGTCTTTCTTATATATAATAAGAAGCTTTAAAGACAGAACTAGAGTTAATAGTTTGCTAAAGCCAACCCAATAATAAAATATTCTTTTGTGTTTCTTTAATGTTATTGAAGCATGTTAGTATGTTAGTCCTCTAAGCATATCAATTACACAAAAATAAGAACTGAAGTTAGTCATTGAAATTGTTTTTGGCATGATTTCTTCCAGAAAATTTGAAAAGGACTGTGGTGATTTATTCCCCAATTTTTTGATACACACATATATACATATATGTATATTTGTGTGTATATATTAATTCATGTCCTTGATAAAACAATTCTTGGCAGACAATCCTGTATAGAGATTGGGCCGAATGGGCCCTAGCCCATTATTTTTTTTATTATTGTTCTTCCTAGTTACTTTGTTTGTTAACGGGCCTTTTCTTTAAGGGTTTGTTAATGTTTATTAATGTCTTTTTAAGTTGTCTGATGAGCTGGCTGCCCACTTAAGGGCAGACTTGTAATTTGATTTGCTTTAATGAGATTAATAAAAGTTAAGAGAGGTAGAAGGGGAGACGATCAAACTCTTCTTCTCCATCTTCTTCTTCTTCCTCTTCTTCTTCTACCTTTCTGTCTTCTTTTCTTTCATTCTTTGCTTAAATCTGAAATTATTTTGTAGAATTCTATTGGATTAAATCACATCTTGGTATCATAGTGTTAGTGTAGGGGTATTTCTGTCTTTATACCTAGATTAATGTTGCTGATCTGTAATGCTGTGTTGGAACCAGTGCTCCTAACTTAAATAAGGGCACATATGTCTTTTCAATTATTTTTAATAATATAAATACTGTCTGGCCGATTGGGAGGATGTCATGTTGAGACTTCCAGTTCGAACTAGAATTTCTCCCTTCTCTCTTTCTCTCTTTCTTCCACCTTTCTACCTCTTTCTACATAACCAATCTCAGACAGATAGAATTCTAAGGCAGGCCGAATCATAACATGGTATCAGAGCTACTTGAATCTGCCTAGATTTCTATTCTTTGCGCACCCTATCTAGGGTTTTTCCTTTTTTTTTTCCTGCATTCGACTGGAGATAAGGGAAAGGGCTGAAAAGGAGTGATCGCCCTCTTCCCTTGGAGGTTTCTATGCCTCCAGTCAGGTCGTGTGTGGTCGGTTGCTGTGGTTTCTAAGATCGCCCTCCCCTAATCGA